CTTTGAGAAAAGTTGGAGGATAATCATCCAGTGTGAAGATGGAAATTTTAAAGAGTGATGCTCATAATTTGACAGACAGATGACGCACTATTATGCATAGGATTTTTTTGCTTTGTGATTTTCCATCTCCACTAAAACTAAAAAGATCAGTGTCTGAGTCTTGGAATGGATAGCAATGGAGGTCTACAATTTCCTTCCAGGAAGACTCTCAAGAGTGAAGAAATTAGGCTTTTAGGTTGGTTTGCAGCAAGTATTTCTGAGTTAAAGGGATAAACTCAAGAATTGAGCTCTGAGAGTCTCAGATAGAGCAAGCCTAAAGATGAAATCACATTTTCTGATAATATAGAGAGGTCAGAGAGAGAAAAAGAAAAGAGAAGAAACCCCAAAGTCTGGTATAGTAAATTGGAGCTCATGATGATATGCCTAAATAAAGCTAGAGTCACACACACACAGCACTGACTTTGCCAAAACACTGGAGACAGTCTGCCCAAAACCTACAGGCAGAGGTAAAAGGCAGGAATGAAGCAAGCAGGGGCAAGAGGAGGAATGCCCAAGCCCCTCCAGCAGCCTCAGAGATACATGGAGACATCAAATCTTGTCTTACCTACATCTCTGAGGTGGTCCCTCTATGATGATGCAAAGCTATCAGAATTTATGCAAAGTAGATGGAATCACCAAAGTCTTCTCTGAGACAATCAGCTCCACCATGGCACCTGAATATCTTAAGGCCTGTATATTTTTTAATGGCATTCTATTTCTTTTCCCATTCATGTCTAAGAAGGAAAAAGGATCCTTGTTGCAGAATGATCAGTTAGACTTCAGGGTCAAAGGGATTGGTGTGAGAGGTGGGGTTCGTACATATCTCTAAAAAAATAAAGCATATGCGTTCACTCCCTTTTTAGGGACATTAAGAAAATGTCCATATTATGGAGGAGTTAGCCTTTGAGAGAAGGAAGAGTTGACAAAAAGAGTGGGAAAATTGGTACTCATTAATGTAGGTTTACTCTATTTATTCACACAATAGCCATATTGAGTTAATATGAGCTTATTACATTTACTCATTCATTCATTTATTCATACTGTACATGACTTGAAACATATGAAGGGACTGGGAATAGTCACAGGGCAGGGTCACAATCAGACAAGGTTAAAGCAAACCATTGTCCATGCTTCCATTTCAGCAAACACCTGAGATCAACACAGACAGCGTTACCTGTTTCCAGTACTGCACGTCTCAGAGGTTACTGTCAGCCTCCTGTGACTGGAACCATGGGAAGAGGTGATTTCCTCCAGGAATTCTCTAGAAAGCGTCCCTGTTTTTGTTAGCAGAGTTCCAGGTCAACCTGGAGTTCAATCTACCCTGATGGCTGCCAAATCTTGGTCTTTTGCATTTTAAAGATAAACTCTAAGCTAAAACCTTTTTTATTAAATATATTTAAGTACAGTCTTGCCAGCAATGTCCTCCATTCAAACAAAGACCTTGCTTTGCCCACACTCTGATAGGTTTGATGATAGGAGCAAAGGGGGAATTTATGGTGTGTGATTCTTAAAGAATTTGGAAAGTAAGAAAAGGAAGATTTAGAGTGAGTAATGATAAATATGCCTCAAAACTGCCCTGTGCTATGGCCAGTTGTTTTTTCTCTATCTTAGGAGATCAGTTTTCTTTCTCATGCTCTTCTCTCCATTAAATACTGTCCCCTAATCCCTTGGAAGCAGCCATTTCCCAGAATAACACTGTGGTAGATGAACAGAAAAAAAGTAACTGATGTCATTCATTATTTTATCAGAGTTATTTTTCAAAGGACAGGTATCCTAAAATAGAGTTACTGAAAAGTTTACAAACTTACATTCAGACTTCACTTGGGCTTAATTCAGTATGTCCCTCCAAAGGGTGGGGGTAAAGCTATGTTTTAAAATGTGAGCAATGCGCACTCTGATTTCTGTTGAAATGACAGCAGGAGACAAGGTTGAGGGGTGAGAAGAAAGTCCCTCCCTCTCAAATCCAGGCTGCAAATCCATCTTATTTCCTCTATACTCACAGATAACAATCTGGTAAGTGCAAAGACTTACATCCCTATTACGGAGACATCTGAGTTTGTGCTACATAGACTGAGCTATGACTTCTAAGAGTCAATGAGAAGAGGGATTTAGAAGTTCTAATCATTTCTACCCATTTTCTCTGTTAATTTAGTCTTCTCAAAATATTCCACCCAAGTGACAGTAATGCCAGCAATGGAATAGACAAGATAAGCAATTAAAAGGAAATGTCTTTGACATTTTCCTTTTTTTTTTTTAACCTTAAAGAGCCATGCTTGTTTGCATTCTGATGCATAATATATTAGTTTGGTTTCAATTTAAGGTTTTATTCCAAGTCAACAATTAAAATTGACTTCAGGAAATATGTATCACATCTATTTCATGACTCCACATAACCTTGGATACATTTCGATATATTTATGCACTAAAGGTCTTTGATCAGTTTGAAGGACTGAGATTGGTTTTTTCCCCTTCCTCTAATCAACCACTGTCCAGCCAGTGGAGAGTATACCATTTCTCTGATGCTCTCAACAGAATTAACTATCTTACCATGTTAAATGTTTCTCATGAGATTTTTTGTTTGTTTGTTTTTAAATGTGATTTCCAACATCTAATCTTGACTATCTACCCTGCATTCAAATCTGGTACAGTCTGAACTGTGGTCAAGTTCAGCTAACATATCTGTGCTGGCATATTTTCTTCTCAACGCTGTCTAGAAAATATTGTGTCAGGTTCAGGAAACCTGCTGTCATCTGTGTCACCGTCTCCCCAGGAGTGGGAATCCTGAAACTTATCTTTGATGACTTTCCATGGCTGATCACATAGAGAGCGTGGAAGTGACTCTATAAGGAAGTGTGGGTGGCACAGCAAAAGCAAGTCCTGTCATCTGATCAAATCACCCCTGGGTCCTCTGTTCTCCAAGTCAGTCTCTGAAGCCAGAGAGGCTGCACTGGGACTGTCCACCTTCATCTCAGCTTGACTTCTGGTTTCCTTCTGAAACCCAGTATAAAAGGAGTGGATAAAGCTTTCCACAGAGATGCTATACAAATATATATATTTAAAGAAGCTAGGCACAAATGACTATGTTTATATGAACTACCCACAAAAGGACAATTTATAAAAATAAACCACACCAATAGTTGACTAGGGCTAGGAGCAGGGACTAACTACAAATGAGCACAACAGAAAATCAGAGGGGTGAGGGTGACGTTCTAACACAATTGTGGTTATGTTTGGACAACTCTATACGTGGTAGGCTTATGACGGGTGAATTTTGTGGTATAAAAACTGTACCTCAAAGCTTCAAAAAACAAAACAAAATCCTCCAGAAATAGAAAACTCAGACTTTGCAGAGAAAGTATGTTTCAGTTAGGCTTTTAATGATCTAATTATCATGAGAAATTTCAGGCTAATTAGAAATATTTAAACACAGCAAAATAAGACAATGCTGAAAATAACCACAAGTAATGCCAACACATGCATAAGGCACTCTAGGAAAGGTTGCTTATACAGATTTTGAAAATTTTTTTCTTTTTCTTTTGTTAATTTATATGGAACATTTGCCCATAAAATAGAATTGGGCTTTCATAGTTTGTCATTCTGATAACAGATCTTCTACCAAAAAAAGAACTTTGAACTAGCACCTGTGAAAGCTCTAATAGGAATCAACAAGGTAAATGAAATATAGGAGTTGGAATATTTTCTTTTTTTTCCCTCTCTACTTTTGTTCCTCCAAAAGGACCATAGCAAAGAAAGAACAACAACAAAAAGATGAGCTAATACTGAGAATTCTGTGCACTATTTGTCCACTTAAGATGATTTTTCTCTTCCTATGCACAATGAGACTACATTTCCCAGCTTCCTTTACAACAAATGAGAATATAATGGATAGAAGGATGTATGTCACTTCTGGGCAAAGCACTTACTCACATTGCATAGCTACCCAGGCTCTCTCTTTCCTATGGATTCAGCAGGGAATAAAAATCTCCAAGGTGGTGGACCCACCTCATGGAAGGATCTTGAATCCCTGAGTTACTTTTGAAGGAATTTATTTGTTAGAGTGTTACAGCTGGCAAGAGACTGCCTTAACAACTCTCTAACTGCTCTAACTTTCTGTCTTTTGTTGAGACATTGGGATTTTGTGGTTGCTTGTTGCAGCAGTGAGTAGTAATGAGCCTGACTGCTACACGCTAACACTCAAGCATGTTCTTTACTTTTCTCCTTGCCTGGTCTAGGCCTGTTCTTCCCTCATTCCTCTTTCCTGTTTATCTTCCTTTTCCCCTTTCTCATCAACTCTGGTTAACATTCATTTCTGTGCAGAGGAAGAAATAACATGAATAGTTTCCAGACTATATCTTACAGGAGCCTTCTTCAAGAACCAGGACATCTGGATGGCAGTCAGCAATTCCTCCTTATTAGTAGAGCAAGTCTCAAGCCTTTGGTTCAAATATCACACTAAGGGCAGTTGTTTTGCCCACCCACATAAGAAACCCCTGGTAACCCCATATGCCAGGAAGGAGATGTCAGAGTTGGCAGCCACTTCTGGGTCATGAACTCTGCTTTTATGACCTGAAGTTTTTGGTAGTGGAGAAGTGCATGTTGGTTGCTCTAAGACTTTCTGTTCACCCCAGAGGGTTATTTCCCAGAGACAACACATTACCATTTCAAGTCATTTTCCAGTCATTTCATTATCCATGGGCCCTTTTCTCCTTTTCTGCATGTAGATCAAATGCAAGAAAAGAAGAGAGGACCTACCCCGATTCAGAAACCACATCCCAGTCATACTCAACCCTTACCATCAGCCCAGCCCTCCATCTTGTCAATCCCAGTTCCCCCCAACTCCATTGTCAAAAAAATAAAATAATTCAAAGAAAAAACAGCTCATAAAATAGTAAACAAAATAAAGTCAGTTTTTTTTCTATTTTTTTTTTAAAGAACAAAATGAAACTTGAGGGAAAACTTACTGGAGTTACAGTTTATCCTGATACAGTCTAGATGGGGAAAAATAAATGAAAGATGAAATTGCATCCTTCAAGGTAACAGCTGCAGACATCCAAAAACAATCAGTCCACCCTTCCGGGGACAGACACACGCAAGAAATGTGGCCATTTTATATATACACAGTATGTACAAGTTTAAGGGTGGGTGTATATGTACAGTATATTATTTAGTAAAGTTGGATACATATATATATACACACACACACACATATATATATATACACATATGTATAGAGATATATACTGGTATACATATATATCCACAATAGACACCAAGCATGTTTATTTTTTTCCAAAAGCCTATTAATTTATAGAAATTATTCCAAACCTGCACTTTGAAATATTAATTTGTTAAACTTGGAAAATTAGGCAAAATTTCCCCCACCAAATGCAGATTATATTCTATTTCCCCCTACAATTTACATTCTTAAAATTTAACTTTAGAAGTAGCATGAATGCCATTTTGATTATTCCTGTTCCAAACAGACATCTCATCAGTCTGACACATTGTATCGTTTTTTTAAAAAATCAGTCCTTGAATTTTCTCAGTGCAGTATTTAACCCTTTCTCTTTATCTAAAAACAAATGCCCTCCACCCTCTCTTTAGGTCCCGAATGCTACAGAAATTTGTAAAGGCAGACTTGCCATCACCCTTAGAGGCAAGGAAAGGGTTAACACCACCTGGTCATGTCCTGTCATAAAATGGCCACTTGCAAACAGCTAACCGCACAAACACCCATCCCAGATTTTAGAGAGGTGGGGTCATTGGGTACAGGGCTAGAGGAGTTGTAGGATATTGTCATAATCAATTTGGCTTTTCTGATCACTGCTGCTTCAAAGGCTTCCAGACCAACCCACTCACGAAGCCCATCTCTGTCTTCCGGCCTGAATGCCCAGGCGAAATCAGAGGCCTTCAGCATTCAGGGGGAAGGCAGGGCAGGCTTGTGTGGAGGAGGTCCTGGGCACCTTTGACATCCTGCCTATTTCACTCTCTGCAGCTTGAGGAGAGAAAATTCTTTAGTTTTGGTTTTTTTATTTTTATTTATTTTTATTTTTTATTTTTTTAATGGGAAAGAAAGGAGAAAAAAGTCAAATTGTCCTGATAACCAGAAAGGAATTGCGTGCCAAGTGATCAGAGTGTTCATCATTTTATTAATCTCTACTTAAGAATCACAGGCACACTCACTTCATAAAAATTCCTGAGTAGAGTCAGTGGGTATTGGTAGGGGCTCGGGCAGAAATGGCTGGAGAAATAGCTCGTTGCCAGGTAACAGCTGTCAGACTGGACGGAAGTTTGGTTTATGCTGTTGGAAATTTCAGTGATAATTTGTGTGAAGCCAAACATTAAAAGGTAGAAATTAAATGATAGGAAAAAAGGCAGAATGGTACAGGGAAAAGGACCTTTGCCAACTGTGCTCTCCTGCTGGTGAAGGTTGACTCAGTACATTTTAGAGGAGTTCTGGAGGGTAATGCCACCATGTAAAATGTCACAAAGGAACCTGTTCTCATCAAGCATGTGAAAATGGAAGCAGTGGCCTCCAGCAGGGAAGAGTGGAAACCAGGTGAAAATCCAGATAGGAACAATTCACAATACCCAGTCATTCTGAGGGAGGAGGCGGGCAGCTTATCTGTTCCCCAGAAGAACATCTCTTGAGAAAAATCTGGGTTTGGTTTCGTGCGGTTAGGTTTGTCATGTGTCGTCAACCGCAACAGAAAAGTGGGAGCAAACAGCCCTGGAGCAACCGGTACGATCACCAGACAGAGGAGGCCATGCCCCTGAGGGGACCAGGGAGAGGGAGGGCAGGCATGGGGAGCAGGTGGGACTTCAGCTATCGGCTGCACCTACCATCACCCAAAGCTGGAGCAAGGCCCCTCTCTAGAGTAGTGAAGAGGGAGAGGAAATCCATGACTGGGCATGCTCAGGAGAGAGGAGCCAAGGAGCAGGCTCCAAGTCACAAATCTAAGAAGTGGCTTTCTGCTTTGGTGTCTGTGCAGCTGCGTATTTTATTGTCAGTTAAGAATATTGTCTAGGGAGAAGTGCTGGGTTAGCCTCATCCCTCTAGGTCATCCAAATGGTTTCATGACATGTGAACCGTGCCTAAACCATGAGAGGACCTGGGTTTTCCAAGACAGCAGTCAATTTGTTTAAGTCAAGACAAGAATTATTTTGTTACTTAGCCTGAAGAATTAGTGGTTTGGGGAGAAAAATCTACCCTGGTCTCTTCTTCATGAGCTCTGAGGCTATGTTTGTGTTAGTGAGGATATATACTTTAATGAAAAAAAATGAGCTGGGAGAATTGGCCCAGGATGGCCATTTCCTTTAGATCTATCTTTGGTAGCAGCCAGACTTAACTCTACCTGAAAAAAATTTTGCCTGAGTCTTGGCATGACAGTTGAGGTGAGTGTTTATGTATGCATTTGGTTTTTTGTTTGTTTGTCTGTTTGTTTTGTAGTGTACATACGCAATGTCTATTTGTTTAGTTTTTTGTTGTTGTTTTATTTTAGCAAATGAAGAAAAATATCATTGTCCATATTGATGAGCTTTGGGCTGAGTGTGAAAGAGATGAATGTTTCTAAAAGTTGTATATTTTCAATAATGTATAAAACAATAGTCAGCAAGGCTAGAGGGAGAATATCTGGAGAATTTCAATTCAGGGAACCAAACTGCCGCACACTGCCCAGAACCTCCACCATGGCAGAAGTGTTTCTGGCTCTCTGCTGAGGACCCTGAAGGCTGTACCTCCTGCAGGTTTCTTTTTTCTGTAGTGTGGCTTGATTAAATTGAGCACCAAGGGAAAAGGAGGTCTCCCTCTAGCAGGTTACAAAGGTGACCATCATGAAAGCAGTTTGAAGTCATTAAGAACATCATATCATCGATCCACAATATTGACCTGTAGGGTTTATAGATAATCCATAATGATCTAGCAGTTTAGAGGCAGGAATTATAGTCCCAGCTACCAACTTTTGGCATAAGCTTTGAAAAGTCATATATTTCTTGCTTGTTTCACATCTGTAAAAGTCAATGTAAAAATATTTTTGTGATTTATCTCACAAAATTATTAAGAGATTAAATTAAGACAAGGTCATTTAAACTTTCAACGATACTATAATACTGAAATATTGCTATTGCATTTTTTAATAATCAAGGAGAAAAATATGGTTGATCAGTAGCCAACCTCACAACTTTTAAAAACATGTTGTGTAATGCAAGATATTCTTCCTCACACCTGCTATTATCATAAATGGCTGTTTTCAGAAAACAAAGTCCTTAGAAAATCCTAGTCTCATTGGCATGTAGCGATAGGTTACATCAAAGGAACTAGGATTTTCTACCATAAACTTACATAGGTGAGCACTTTGAAATCGAGAGTAATTTCATCTGTGCATGTGCTATAAAACCAAGATGTCTTAAATGCAATAAGAGAACAAAGGGATCATTTGAAGTTTGGGGGATGGCTTGTGAATGCAAACTTTGCTTGGAGATGTTTTCTTCTATAATCAAGAAAAAAAAAGGAAATGTAAATTTGTAGCAGGAAGAAAGAAAATGCTTATAAAGGTGTGTCCTTAGGAGACAGAATAGAGAAACCGTTGGTCAAAGCCTGATTATGAGAAGGTACATGTTCACAAGCACAAAAAATTGAAATTTAGCTTTCTTTTTTTAAAATATTTTTTTAAATTGCCAATTGACCTTTACTTTATGTATTTAGATGTGTTGCTGAGAATTGAACCCAGTGCCTTGCACATGCTAGGCAAGCGCTCTACCACTGAGCCACAACCCCAGCCCTAAAATTTAGCTTTCTCATGTATGGTTTCAAATAAAGTTAAACCCAAAACAGCAGTTGTGATGAACCAGGGAAAAAGGAAAAAGGAAATCACGACTGCTTTTGGAGGACTGCTCTGCAGGGAGGGGCTGTCTTTTGTCCAAGATGTTTTAACTTTGGACAAGTTAGATGGATGGTGTACGAAAAGAAGCCAAAAGGCCAAATTCTTTAAGAAAAGCACAGCTCCCAGACTTTGGTTACAGTTTAAAATATATATAAAAAAAATTGCTTCTAGGAATACACATGGGGTCTATGACTAATTCTGAGTATGCGTGTGCATGTGGGTGAGTGTGTATGATTCTCTCTCTTCCTTCAGTGCACGTCTCCTTTTATCCCTCCCTTTGTCCTCTTTTTTCCTAAGATTTGTCACAGTTGATTTTCTAATCTTTACAAAACAACATCTAATAAGGAAAAACAAGTTGTCTGTTTAACGGCACGGGGTGCACTCCCCCAGGGTCCCATGGGGCTGATTCATCCTCATGGGCACATCCCTCTTTGACTTTGAACTAGAGACAGAGATAAAAATTGTCTTCATCTTTTTTTTCTATAGGCTCGGTAGGAAATTTTTCTGTCTGTTTTGTTTTGTGTTTTATCCCTTCTTGCTGTTTTCCAGAGTAGTAGGTGATCAAAGTTGCTGGTGGTTGGTTTTAGGTACTATATCCTTAAACTGATCTATTTAAGGTGGGGAGATGGTGTACGGAAGGGAAGATGGGAGGGACAGGGGTATGCCAGCCCCTGTAGGCTGCTCAGTACTCTCTGTTCACAAGGCTGTTTGCTATGCGGGCCGCAGGCTTTGGGCCTTTGAAGGGTTGAATACCATCTTTTGATTTACCATGGTTGATGATCAGGAAGATTGAGAACTCAAGAACGCACATGAAAAGATCCAGCAGAAGAGAAAAACAAAACCTAAAATAACCGAACACATACATACACACAAACTAAAGAAAACCAAGAAACACAGTGACAACAGAAATCAAATGAGGTTGGGCAAGAGAAAGGGCATAGTGTTGTAAAAGCTGCAAATGAGAAGGAAACACAAAAAAGACATAACTAAATAAGCCACTGCTCAAAACAGTCCTCTGTTGACTAGAGATTTTAGAATTACAGCGTAGGCATTTTGCAAATATGAGGAGTTGGCCTGACAGTGAATAGGACTGGTATGGATTCAAAGTTCCACCTTCCCACCAGGCCTTCTTGAACTTGCCATGGTCTTAAATCTAGTACATTTGTCCCTCATGTCATCCCTGGACCTTTAACAAGCTGCTCTACTGAAATCTTTATAAAGGAGTTCAGTATCCAAACACATACTACACAGGTAAATAAATCCATTAGCTTGGAAAGTTTGAACCCAGTTATAACACTAACCCTGCCAGCACTGGGCATTGACTTTCTGCTGAATGGAAAGATCAGAAAAAATGATTGGTGGGTTGTTTCTTCCAAAACCCAAGGCCCCCATTCTCCACTAAAGATCCATTAAAATCCAGTAAAGAGAGTAAACAGCAGGAGAAAATGTGAGGCCATCGAAGAATTTTTTTCATGGTACTCATTCTAGGTGACTGTGGTCAAAGAATAGATCCTATCCCAAGAGAACTGAAGTCGTCATACTTTTTCAAATGTTCTGTAAAATTGATATTCATTGTACAGTGGAATTTGTAGGTTACAATGTGAGGTCACCATCTTTTCCTTTAGGGCTGCTGAGAAGTGGTTAAGAGTGTTGGGAAGGAAAGTGAGGTTCATAATTAGGGGGCACATTTTCCTTCCACATGTCAGAGACTCTCAACTTTGGGAAACATATTTTCAACGAGACCAAACAAACATCTGACTTGTCTTTCTAGAAGAAAGAATCAGGAGACCTCATCATCTCTGGGGCTATCAGAATTCTTAGTCTCAATAATCTTCCGGAGCTGGACATGATGTGCTTCTCATCCTGCTGACGTCCTTAGTCCTCTTAATCCCAACTTTACATGTTGCCTCTTCTCCTGCCCCTTCTGTGCCCTTGGTGTTGACTGTTTTGAGGGGTGAGCAAGGAATTGGACTTAATGGGAATATGATTGATCAAAAGATGGACCAAAGTAGCGTGTTTTACACAAAGCTAAACGATTCCAAAAAACCAAGAACGGAAACTTAGAAAAACAAATAATCTAGTAAAGAAACCACCACTGTCAGAAACCAGAAATTGACATCAAAACCTCATGCAGAAACAAGGAGAAGGTTTTTGTTGCTGTTGGGTTTTATCCTTGGTCTATTAAACAAGAGGTGAGCGGCTAACTTTCAAGAAACAAACAAAGAATTCAATCAAACCAATGAAAATCAGAAAAGAAAGGGAAGACAAGCCCAAACAGAGTAGCAGAGGGTCCTTCATACGATACCTAAGTTAACCATGAGTTTGACGCGACCCCCATCGAGCTCCAGGCGCAGCGTGTCAGCAGAGTCCCTGGAGGTAGTAGCCACCAGGAGCCCGTAGGCTCGCTGGGACATGAAGCGGAAGGACACATCCTCAGCCTCAGTGTGCATGACCATGGGCATGATGATCTTCATGTACATGCTGCCGTCGTAGCTCAGGATGGACGCCTCTGCCAAAGAAGAATGGAGAAGGTTGTTAGCTTGAAGGATGCTACAGTCTCACATACCCCTTTGCATCCAGGCTGAGTAGAGAGGGCACCAAATTTGTAGCCGGGGGAAAGTATTTGATGGACTTCTGTGGTTGCTACCTTTTAACTGTGTGACCTTGGGCAGAACACCTAAACTCTGAGGCTCTATTTCCTCATCTGAAAAGTGCATATGACAGTACGGGTACCTGCCCTAGGAGCCTCACAGACTTGCCAAGAGTACCAAATTAAACACTGGATGTGAAGGTATTTTGCAAAAGGGAAAATGCACCCACAGATAGTAGTAATTGTAATGTTGGATGTCCTAGATGAAACACAGATCTAAAAAGCAAAACTGAATCCCTGTAACTATTTTTACCGAGAGTAGGAGGAGAGCAGACATTTATAACCACTTGATCAAGCAGGTATTGGCCATAGAGCTTCTAGAAGGAGGAATAGGCAACAGCATCAGGCTAGTGCCTAGACCGTCCCTCATGGCCAGGCACTGTGAGAGATGCTCAGACCATTCAAAGAAGATTGAGAGAGCTAGACCTAGAGCAACAACAATAAAAAGTTAATGGCACCCATCAGAAACTCATTTTGCTTGTGTTCAAACAGAACTTCTATAAGGAAGAAAGGAAACACTTATATTTGATGCATCCTTCAGTACTAGCATGTTGTTCAGAAGACCTCAACCTCCACCCCTATACGACATCTCAATGCTACAGTGTGGGTCTATTGTTACTGTTTTCCAACAAGAAAACCAAGACTCTTAGAAGGATATGTTATTGTTCAAAAAATCACACGACGTGGATTGTGACACAACATACCCGATATCAATTCTATTTTATAACCCATGATACTCAACGTGTAAAATTAAAATTTAATCATGCAATCAGCAAATATTTTCAGAGAACCAGGAAGCAGCTATCATTTGCATTCACATGAAGCCAGCTTGTCACTGGGCTCAGCACCTGGCACTAGGTTCTTTATTAAATATTTGCTGTCAGATAATTGCTACTTGCATGTGCTGTGTTGAAAACACAGGTGAAACAAAGTCCTTGTTCTAAAGGTAGACATATCATGTACAAATAACTTTATGAACATAAAAAATAGTTAAATGACAGAGGAAAGGTATAAAATGATGGTGATGGCATTCAGAGGAGAGTTTGAGCAAGTCTTGGGAGATGGGTGGTATTTGTGATGAAAGAAATGAGGGCATCACATTTGATAGCACATACTAGAGAGCACGTCTACAGACATAAAAGAAAGAAAGAAGGGGATTCTAAATAATTGCAAACAATTCAATTTAACGCAAACTTAAGGAATATATTTGGAGAAGTAGAGTTGGCCTTCTATATACATAGATTATACATCTATGGATTCAATCAACCTTGGGTTGAAAATATTTGTAAAAATTATATGTGTATGGGCTGAGGATGTGGCTCAAGCGGTAGTGCGCTGGCCTGTCACACGTGCGGCCTGGGTTTGATCCTCAGCACCACATACAAACAAAGACGTTGTGTCCGCCGAAAACTAAAAAATAAATATTAAAAATTCTCTCTCTTTTAAAAAAATATGTGTACTTAGCGTGTACAGACTTTTTCTTGTTATTATTTCTTAAACAATATAATAATTACACAGAATTGACAGTATAAATGGGAATGTAAGCAATTGTGTGTACAGGAGAATATGTTTGGTTATATGCAAGCACTCTATCATTTTATATAAATACTTGAGTCTCTGTGGATTTTGGTATCCACTAGGGTTCTAGAGCCAATCTGCCATGGATACAGAGGAGAAATCATCTGTGACAGTAGTTACAGAGGTCATTTGAGATTGAATAAAATCAATGTGCTTTGGTGGACCCTGGAAAGTAAGAGAGTAAGAAATTTTGAAAAGATACTATGATTTCATTCATTTGTACTGTGGGTCAGGCACTCAGGTGTTGAGGACATAACAATGAAAAACAGAAACAAATACTCCTGACTGAAAGTACAGAAGAAATTAAAACAGGGAGAGACAGGAGGCAGATAGACCACATGAGGATCCTAAAACAGCCTGTGCCATCACCCCACCGCACCCTGCCCTACTTACACAACACACAAAAGGTCCTGAAAAGTAATCTAAAGGCACCTGCTCAAATTCCTCGAAAGCAATCATCTCTCAGGTGAAACCCAGGTCATGCTAATAGATGTACATCACAGTTTACAAACTCTAAGAGGATCACAGATAAAAGTTGCAGGCATCATCACAATAAAAGGCATATCATGAAGACCTGTTCTTATATGGGAAACATAATCTAAATTTAATACATGCTCCAGATGTGAAAGAAACACGTTTGCTTAGTGGAAGAGCAGAATCAAAATAAGGTTAAAGATGGTAGCTAACATTTATTGAGCTGTTTTCTTGGTGCTTTCTAGAACTTAACATGCAATAAGAAGTCACTTAGTCTGAGGGGGTTTTCAAGATGGCAGAATAGAGGCGGATGTGTTCCTGGCTACTCTGTGACATGAAACCAAGAAAACAGACAGGCAGCTTCTCCACAAGGTGGGTGAACAAAAACAAGAAGTGTGTGTGTAGAGGGGACTTTACTGGAATTTAAAGCTGGAGTTTAAAGCATACCAGAGCCACAGGAGGTTGGATATATTAAAAATAATGAAAAAGTCCCCAGCAGCACAGCTGCTACTGCAGCTGGGCCAAAGGCACCAGCCAGAGTGGTCCCTCCAGGAACATAGTAGAGGGATAAGGGAATTAAAGGAACCTTAATTTGGGGGAGGCCTGAGGCCTGGGTATGGAGTGTTTAAAGACTAAGAATATTGCCTAACAAACCTGAAAGGCATGCTACATGCCATCCTTGTGCAGGGAATGAAGCTGCCATGTCTCCAGGCAGTGTAGAGAGGACAAAGGAAGGAACTATTTTGTAGCCACAGTGTGGGGCCAGCAGGTAAAGGAGCCAATTCCTGGCAAACCTGAGCTTGGCCCAAAATATAGGCCCAATAAATACACAATGCACAACAGAGTGTGCTTAAGTGACCAGGAGATAATCAAACATGGACAGAGGTTTACAACTGGTCACAGAAACCTGACTCTATTCCTCCCCTTCCAACCCAGCCTGCTTGTATGACCTGCTGCTGTGTTCCATGGATACCAGAGTAGAAGAAGTTAAAGAGAATGAGTTTAGAATGTATGTCATTAAACTGATCTGCAAAGTAAAGTATAAGGAATGAAATCAGAAAGAAAATACAGAAAGCTAAAGATCACTTCAATATAGAGGCAGAGATTCTGAAAAAATAATAAAAAAACAAGTAGAAATCCTTTAACTGAATAAAACAATAAACCAAATTAAAAATTCAACAGAAAGCATCACCAACAGACTAAACCATTTGGAAGACAGAACCTCAGGCACTGAAGATAAAATATATAATTTTGAAAATAGAGTTGACTATGGAGAGAAGATGTTAAGAAACCATGAACAGAACTTCCAAGGATTATGGGATAATGTAAAATGACCAAATTTAAGATTTATTGGGATAGATGAAGACATGGAAATACAAATCAAAGGAATGCGCATTCTTTTCAATGAAATAATATCAGAAAATTCCCCAACTCTAAAGACTGAAATGGAAAATCAAATACAAGAGGCAAATAGGACCCCAAATGGACAAAATTACAACAGATCCACACCAAGTTACATTATAATGAAAATGCCTAGCATACAGAAAATCTTGAAGACATCAGCAAATTTCTGGAGATATATGACCTACTCAAACTGAATTAGGAGGACATACAATTTAAACAGATCAATTTCAAACAATGAAATAGAAGACACCATCAAAAGCCTACAAATTAAGAAAATCCAGGACGAGAAGAAAGATTCTCAAATTCTACTAGACCTTCAAAGAATTAGCACTAATTCTTTTCAAATTATTCCATGATAAAAAAAAAGAAGGAACCCTTCCAAACTCATTCTAAGAAGTTAGTATCACCCTAATATCAAAACCAAAGAAAGACACTTCAAGGAAAGAAAACTTCAAACTAATATCCCTGATGAACATAGATGCAAAAATTCTCAATAAAATTCTGGCAAATTGCATACAGAAACATATTTAAAATCTCACCACAGTCAAGTGGTGTTCACCCCAGGGATTGGTTCAACATACAGAAATCAATAAACATAATTCATCACATCAATAGACTTAAAGACAAGAATTATATGATCATCTCAATAGGTGCATTAAAAGCATCTGACAAAATATGGCACCACTTCATGTTCAAAACAATAGAAAAACTAGGGATAGTATAAACATACCTCCACATATTAAAATATATATATGCTAAACCCAAGGCCAGTATCATTCTAAATGGAGAAAAATGGAAAATATTCCCTCCAAGAACTGGAATAAGATAAGGATGCCCTCTTTCACCACTTTTTTCAACATTGTCTTTGAAAATTTAGCCAGAGCAACTAGAGAGAAGAAAGAAATTAAAGGGATAGGAGTAGGAAAAGAAAGACTCAAACTATCACTATTTGCCAATGACAAGATTCTAAATTGAGAAGATTAAAAAAATCCACCAAAAAACTTCCAGAACTAATAAATGAGTTCAGCAAAGCAGCAGCATACACATTAACACTCATAAATCCAATGTGTTTCTATACATCAGTGATGAATCCACCAAAATAGAAAATAGGAAAACTACCCTATTCACAATAGACTTAAAAAATGGGAAATCAATCTAATAAAAGAGGCAAAAGACCTCTACAATAAAAATTACAGAAAACTAAAAAAAGAAATTGAAGAAGACCTTAGAAGATGGAAAGATCTCCCATGCTCTTGGATAGGCAGAATTAACAGTGTCAAAATGGTTATACTATAAAAAGCATTATACAGATTTAATGGAATTTCTATTAAAATTCCAATAACATTGTTCATAGAAATAGAAAAAGCAATCATGAAATTCATTTGGAAAAATAAGAGACCCAG